CATCATTTGTGGATGGGCAGGGAAGTGATGATGATGCAGACGAGAACATCAATGGTGACGACATGACAGAATCTGATGAAGATGATGGTGATACTGTGACATCAACTGCCCCGTCTAGCCACTTCACAAGAATGTATGATCTCCCTGAAGGTTTTACTGATGCGTGGATGAGTGGATCAGGTGAGAAAAGGTTTACCCCCGATGGTGAGTTTGAGGTCGGTCAACAGTTTGACAACAAAGAACAAGTCATCAATATGGTGAGCTTGTATTCTATCAAACGGAACCAATTCTATCGGGTGATAGAGTCCGATAAACACAAATGGGTGGCACAATGCAAAAGAAAGAAAGAATGTCATTGCCCCTGGAGAATACGTGCCACAAAGAACAAAGGCAACCTTGACACCTTCACAATTGTGCGTTATTCTGGACCTCATTCTGCTTCTTGTGTAGGCAACATCGACACTACAGATCACGTGGCCTTGACATCAGAATTCATCTGTAAAGATGTGGTTGACATTATTCGCACTGATCCTTCTCTTAAAGTGCATACTATCATCGAGATGTTGAAGGAAAAATATGGGTATACGGTATCTTACCGGAGAACATGGATGGGGAAGCAAAAGGCCATAGCACAAATATTTGGCGGTTGGGAAAAGTCATATTTCGAATTGCCCCGTTTCATGACAGCGCTCCAACATTCTAATCCAGGAACTGTTGTTCAGTGGTACCCACCCCCCAATGGTTCCACAGGTTATATGATGTTTCAAAGAGTTTTTTGGGCATTCAAGGCTTCAATATCTGGTTTTAAGCATTGTCGACCCGTACTTACTATTGATGGCACACACATGTATGGAAAGTACAAGGGCTCATTGCTCGTGGCCATGGGTTGTGATGCGAACAACCAAATTTTCCCAGTCGCCTTTTCAGTTGTAGAATCCGAGAATGGAGACAGTTGGCCGTGTATTAGCCGTGTGTAGACAACGTAGTTTGTCTTATGCTCCATTTGTGGATAAGTTCTTCTCTTCTGACCAATACGCCGCCACGTATCATAGGGTGTTCAAACCGATTCCTGATCGTGATTATTGGCCCAATTACAATGGACCCGAAATCGTCCACGATCCATCCATGCTTCGGGCAAAGGGAAGACCAAAGTCGACCCGTATTAAGAATGAGATGGATGAAGGACCACGAGGAACGGTTAGATGTGGAAGATGCCACCAAACCGGCCATAATAGAGCGACATGTGCAAAGAGATCATCTAGACAAGAGGGGGGGTCCGCCGGGTATGTGTATATTTAGAGTCAATCATAATTCATGATTTCCTTGCAAGGATAATTAATAAATTCAAAAAAGGAAGTTAAAAAAAAATTAATACATTATACAATTACAACTAATACAATTAGAACTAATACAAATTTTGTTTGTAGGCATGGAGGTGATAGCGGATCCTGGGCCGAGTGATCGTTCTGTCCTCACACTGCAGGCCTCACACAGGAGTGAGGATGTTTGGCTTGGCATGGATGTGCAGGTTGATAGGTGCCGCGAACATCTGCGGGGTTTGTCCCATTTACATGTCGACCCCAGAGTCCTAGCCTATGTTCGTGCTGCAGGTTTTTTTACACTGCACAGGTTAGTGGCTACTGTGCCTTTAGATAGAGCCCTCCTCACTGCTCTACTTGAGCGTTGGAGGCAGGAGACACATTCATTTCACCTCCCTGTTGGTGAGGTCACTGTGACATTGGGAGATGTGGCTGTACTTACCGGGTTAGAGGTTGATGGGAGAGCTGTTACGGGCACTGCTTGTCGACAGTGGGTTGATGAGTGTGAGAGGTTGTTAGGCATCCGCCCCGTTCTTAGGGCTGACCTTCAGGGGTCATCTCTTAGGATGCCATGGTTGAGGGAGCACTTCCAGGCCCTTCCTCCCGACGCTGATGAGATGATCATCCAGCAGCATGCTCGTGCGTATATATTGATGATGATGGGAGCCTCCATTTTCGCTGACAAGAGCGGAAATGAGGTTCAGGTGCTACACTTGCCTTTGCTGGAGAGGTTTGATGTAGCAGCACAGTTTAGCTGGGGTAGTGCCACCCTGGCTTATCTCTACAGGCAGCTGTGTCGCGGGTGCCAGAGAGGGAGCACAGAGCTGGGGGGATTTTTGTTACTCCTCCAGATTTGGTCATGGGAGTATATCCACATAGGCCGTCCCATTATAGTTGGATATCATGGCATTGATGGACAGCCACTGCCTGATGAGCCTCCACGTCTGCTAGGACCACATCATGTACGGGGCGTGGACCCTCTTGGCCGTCGGTATGTTTTCAATCGTTTGTATTTGTGTTAGTTTTTGTTGAATGTAAATGCATTAATAAAATCCATATTATTGATATTGTAACATGAATGGTTAGGTGGCTATATGCTGGTTTATCTCGCATGTCATCTGCTACTGGCCTCGGTGTGTACAGGGATGCATTGGATCGGATGTCAGAGGACCAGGTATGGTGTGTGTATTATAACAGTAACTAGAATAGGTGTAGAATAAATACTAATTTTGTATGTTTACGAAACAGATCACATGGATGCCGTTTAGACCTGATATGTTAGCAGAGTTGCCCCCAGCTGGACGAGAGCAGACTCACATATGGCGAGCACGTGTGCCGCTGATATGTTTTGACATTGTTGAGCTTCATTTGCCTGATAGAGTCATGCGACAGTTTGGGTTTGAGCAGGTCATTCCACGTCCTATCGACACTTATGTAGAGCTGCATAAGCTGGATAGGCGTGGGAAGCATACAGAGGATTGGGCACTCAGACATGTCCGATACGTGACTATGTGGGATAGGAGAGCTGAGCTAGCTGTGGCTGGGACACCCACATATGTGCCATCAGTTTCAGGAGATTACATGGGATGGTACTACAGCATCACTCGGTTGTTTGTGTCTCCTTCGTTCAGACTCCCTACTCATCATTATCAGCCTAGCTCATTGGCATTGCATCTTACGGTGAGTATATTACTAATTAGTAAAGTAAGTCATTTTATTTATGTAATACTTGTATGTATTTCAATGTAATTGTAATTGTGTTTCGTATTGCAGACACGAGCTTTGCAGCGCATACATCAGCGGGCTACTGCCACTGTGACTGATATTCCTGATGTGGACATGTATGGACAGACTCTGACAGGCATTGCCTCGTTATGCTCAGATGTGTTGGGTCGAGTAGACTACGGACATCTTATACACATGCCCGCATCTCAGGAGATGGCATCCACGTCTAGTGCAGCCGCGGCTTCATCATCCCAGACGCAACATGAGAGAGTGGTTCTTCAACCACGACAACGCCGTCGGCGTAGACATGAGCAGCAACATCTCCATGACGAAGCTGATGATGGGAACTTGTAGTTTGTCTTTTGTATTGTAGTTTTTCTTATGCAGTAGATGTTGTAGGAACAATTTACAAGTTTTGATGTATTTTCTCTTGTTAAGTATTCTATGTTGTATTGATGTGTTCGAGTATGAATATTAGATGATTATTTGTTATGGCATATATGATGATTGAACTGTGTTATACCGGTTATGATTTGAAAGTTTTTTAGCGGTGTTTATAAGGTGTTTTTTATGTTGTTGAGAGTAGGTGATTATCATGTGTTGTATCTAGTTTGTAACACTTCAAAAGGAGAAGGGAGACCTTATTTGTAGCAAACAGATCGGTCTGGATTGAATCGGGGCGAAAAACAAGCTGAATTGGTGTTTTAGGAAATAGGCACGATCGTGCCTACCCTTGTAGGCACGATCGTGCGTGGCTGGCAGTAGCTGCTCGCCTCAAACCATATTTCAGGGGAAAGTCGCCCAACCGTTGGGCGACTTTCCCCTGACCATGGTTACGGCCAGCAGTATTTTGGTAAATACTTTTTTTCCAGCATTATTTCCGTAATTAATTAATTAATTAACATTAATACGGAAAAAAACTCGTATAATACAAGCACACATCATGTTTGACGATTTCTCGAAGACATGAGTCACGATGGGTAACAATACTTCAACTGTTCTAAAATGATTTGTAAACTGTTCTTAGTTAGTTTCATTTTATTTCATATTTAGCATTTCAAATTTTATCATATTTTAACTTTAATTTTGAGATTTTATTATATTTTAATTTTGCGATTTTTGAATATGTACGTTATAATAGTTAAAATTGATTTAACTATCCTTACTGATCGAATAAAAATTTATCTATTTTTTAACTGGTCCAATATAGATTAACGCTAGAGTTTCGGATAAAATACTCCAACTATCTTAATCGTATGTATCTTGACAATTGACATTTGCTTTTGTTACATTGTGTTGGGGGAGCAATATACCGATGTTCTTAAATAAGTGTAACAGTCGACATTTCACATCTGTCGAGGCACAACCTTGACCATTAATATATATAATTCTTTATTAGTAAATTTTTTTTTTAAAAAAACAGATTTTGAAAATTTAAAATGAGACAAATTTAGTTATATTTTTTTCAAAAATATATATTAATCATCAATAAATAAAATGTAGTTAAAGTAGAACATGTGAATAGTGTAAAATTTGCAATGTTGCACTTATTTAAGAACGGAGGTAGTATGTTTAATCACCACTGTTTAAAATACTCCGCCCTATGTTACCTCCTCTTTTATAATCAAATTCCACCCTGTTATGAGATATGGAACCTTGTTAGTCTCATACGAATTTTGTAATTAGAGAATTCCCTTGACTTTATTCCTACATTTATTAGTAATAATATTGCTAGTCTGTTACATTAAACATTTAAAAGTCGTACTATTAGTGCATTTCAACTAAGCAAACCGTGTGAGATATGAATGAATCAACCAACGCAAACAAATAGGAAACGATATTGTTGTGAGTTGGCTTGCTTGCCAGTTTGGTCTTCATAACAAAAATAGTTGTGAGGGTTGATATATGAGAAACGGCAGGGGGGGATTGAAGTATAAGAAGTATTTTTTGTTGAAAATATATTGCTGTCCCCAATAAAATAATAAGCGAAAAGTATAGAACATGTAAATATGGTCGGGTGCATTTTCATATATCACTGGAGGGTCCTGCACCTACCGCAATTAGAAATCGTCGGAGAAAAATGACAAACAATGACTTTAATTTCAAAAGAGGCTAGAAAATTTAATGAAAAACATTGGCGGTGCGTCTTGTCAAGGAGACTTCCAGACTATCATTTTTTCGTTTCGAATCACTGTTGGGCTACAGATTATTGGGCCCAAGGGAAGACACATCATGAATGAAAAACAGGATGCCTGGTAATTAATGGGAACGTTAAGCGTAGTATTGAATCCCTATTAAACAAATGGTGAACTCGGAATGGAGGGAAGAGGGTAAAGCTTGGAGAGAGACAAGGAATAAACTTCCGCATGACTAGGAGTGGCCGCTACTTCATCGGGCAGTGGGCTCACAATCGAGGAAGAAAGATCAGATAGATTTAAATAGACTAGTCCAATGGAAAATACACACGATCAATTCAGATCAACTTGTTCTCTTTTCATTGTGTTTAAGCTGAAACATTCATTGAGATATTTACTAAATATTTGTTGATCAAACTTCAATTTTCTAGTATCTTGCACGATCCCTTTTCATCATATTATTTAGATTAGTTTAATTCTTACTTAAACAATTTGGCGCCCACCGTGGGGCATCGTCCAAGAGAAAGATCAATCATGGTTGGAACTAATCCCTTATTGATTGAGTTTCACGAACGGCTAGAAATGGAGAAAGAGGAAATCCGGCGTGAGGTGGCGGAACGGATGACCCATCTTCAACGAGAGAATGACGTGCTTCATCCCAAGTGCAATCGGCGGTGACAATAGCTTCAAATTCAAGAATTAACCAGAGAAGTGAAGCCATGACTGTCGCCACAACATTGGATTTAGGCTTAGCTCCAGCAACGGCGGATCCGCCCACTACTACGAAGGATCCCGTCTCCCTCATGTTGGGCCTTTCACCAACTGGAGAGCCACACTCAACGATCATCTCACAAGTCATCCCCTATACACCTCTTTCCCTTAGATAATGTCGATCCCCAACATTCCTACTTGTTTCTTCCCGGAGTCTTTTCGAAGCACAATACATCTAGGGGGATAGGGCTGTATTCGGCGACTCAGAGCATGCCTTCGACGACCACAATCTCTGCTCCGACAGAGCCCTCTATTCCTCACTTCAAGAGCAGGACATTTGGAGATCTGGGTCCGTCAAATTTCAAGCAAAACCCTGGACGTAACACTCAGGACGTGCCACTACCGGAGTCTCAGACGTAATGTCCTCATAGACCTATCACATCGTCAGATCCAAGTCTGATAGGACGATGCTTCGAGGTGATCATCATCCCATCACTAACTCAACCTGAAATCACCCAAATGGACGGACCTACAATTTCGATGGCGGGACCAGTCATAGCGGACCCAATGTGTAACACCGCTCCCAATTTGAACTTGGATTTATTAATCCATTAATATTAAAACCTAATTGAAAGTACACATACCAAATTTGACGAGGATGACTAGTTAAAGTCATGAATATTTATATTCACTTTGAAAACTAGTTACAAGTGTATTAATCATGCTAGAAATGATTAATTGATTAAATTAATACCAATTAATTAAATTGTAGGTCGGACCCCAAACATGGGGAGCGACTAACTAATATATATTCTTGGACCAAGTTAATTTAAATATAAAGCCCAAGGATAAGGAAATAAGTAATATATATAAGTTTTTGGGCCGAATAAAAGGTAAAGAAATAATATGTGAGACCATTCGAGCCCACTTACTAATAATAGAAATGTAAAAAGGGGTTTAAGCCCGGAATATTGAAGAGGACTATCCAATACATTTTAGGATTGACCTATTGAGGTCTACTAGTCTAAAATAATATAAATGATTGAATAAAAGTCATTTGGGTCGGACCGAGATTGATCATGTAACCAAAGTGGCGTTCTAGCCCAAATTACCGAAAATAACAAGTATAAGGGTGAATGGCTTCCTACACTTTAATTCGGGGCAGCCCATGCAAATATAGAGCCCAAATATAATGGTTGAGGAGCTTAAATAATACATTGGGTTGGAGTAATTAAAATAAACAGCCCATGAACCCAACCCAACTTAATAGGCCCAACTTTCTAAAAATAGAAGATAAGGGAGGGGAGTCTCCTTATCCTCTCATTTGGGATGTTTTACATAAGCCACAGAATGGAGGGAGTGCCTAGAGAGTCTTCGATGCACACAAGAACTCAGGGGCAAAAAAGGAGTGAAGGAGAGAAGAGAATCCAAAAGGAAACGAAGCCTAGCGGTAAGAATCTCGTAGCTCCGGTTCTTGTACTTTATTTTCACATATTTTTCGTATATGATTTTTAAGAAATCATATGATGGATTCTAGGTGATATTCTACACGTTTAAAAGTGTAGAAATATGATATAAAGTGTTTGTAATTAACTTAGAAGAGTTGTTGAATCGATAGGAATTGAAATCGCCAGAAACCGCCACTTCTAGGTGTTGTTTTTGTGCTGCAAGACCCGAAAGCCGGGCAGCTTTTGCAAAAGCCAGACGGCTTTTGCCTTCTGCCCAACAAGGTCAGTTCGGATCATTCCCGATCGAAGTTTTATCAATGGGGCTTCAATATACAAGCTTACTGGACATATTTAAGGTGAGGATGACTGACTATATTGCTTATAATAGTTGGGTTAATTTCATAAGATTACCTAAGACTATAAAATGTGTTTTTCATGGATTATTAAATGATTAATAATGCCAATGTGAAAAGAATGGTACATAAGTGAATGAAGCATGATATACAAATTTATGAATAAATTGTGTATGATTATGTGATACAAATATGATGGCATGATAGTTGAGTTAACTATGAATATTGGGAAAAAATAGACTTTTACTTCATGTAAATGAATCATGAATGGATAAAAGTGACATTATTGACATTGTGATTAAATGGTATTTGTAATGGAAAATCAATTGGAATGAACTATATGAATATGAATTAGGAACTTGGTTGTTCTAAGATTATTTGACTAGTATTGAAATACTAGTCGGTATGTTAGTATGAAAAGTGATAAAATAAATCATAAGAGCTTGGATTGTGAAAGATGTACCTCAAGTAGTCTTATGAGATACTTTAAGGTAGAAATGTGCAAACGCTAAGTTATGCTAGGAGTAAGCCTTAAAGGCCACTCATTATGAAGTGGCTCTATGCATAGAAATTGCTTAGGGATTTAATAGCGTGACTAGAGGGAGCCTCTAGTATAGCGAATGGTGATCAGAGGAAACCTCTAGAATAATGTAGGATGACTAGAGGAAGCCTCTAGCATAATGTAGGATGACTAGAGGAAGCCTCTAGCATAACGTATGATGACTAGAGGAAGCCTCTAGCATAACATGGGATGACTAGAGGAAGCCTCTAGCATAACGTAGGGTGACTAGAGGAAGCTAATTCACTACTACAAAAGGAACTTTTCACGTCGGTTTTTTATGCCCTTTCACGTCGGTTTTTCAAGAGACGAGGAAAGTGTGGACGTAATAGGTATGAAGTTTTTACGTCAGTTTCCTAACCGACGTTAAAAGTACCCTTTTTAAATATATAAAAAACTTTTTACGTCAGTTTTCGACCAAAACTGACATTAAATGTGTTCGTTACATTCAAATTAAAAATCTTTCCACGTCTGCTTTTCCGAGAAACCGACGCTAAACCTATAGAAAAAAAATAAAAAAAAATTACAACAACGTCAGTTTTTTGTGTAACCGACGTTATACGCATTATTAAAATTAAAAAAAAATACAAAAATGCCTATATGATCTATTACACTGCATTTTTATTATTGCCGACTGCTAGGCTATTGAAATATTTGACACAATAATGTTCCAACATATGTTTAAACATCAAACTCGTGCCCTTACATCGACACTTAAGGAGGGACACAAAGATTTGCATTTAGTTCACAGTTTCACACTAAAGAGGTCCTAGCCATAGAAACTGAACAAAAATGTACTGTGCAGTATAAGTATTACATTTATAGCTTTATAAGTAGCAATATACTAGCTTCACCCTTCATGGCCACTGGCATCAGACAATCTTTACCAACCTCTGAATCTGAAAATTGAAAAAATAAATGAAAAGTACGTACAAATAATTTGACTCACTGGTGCATTTAAACTCGGCAACCCAAACGATTAATGAGAGCTTATATGTGAACAACGCAACCAAACACCCTTTTCTAAAATCTTTATTTTGACCAACAAATATTTCACGGCAGTGTAGCAAATAGGTCGTTTTTTCACATTACACTATGAAAATACTTCTTGACTTAACTTCAGAGTTAAACTCATGGACACACGAAATGAAATTGAAAGGATCAAGAATTACCTGAGTAGCACTATGTGAACAATCTTTGATCAAACAATAAGAGTTCAAACTGTTTTTGCTTGATCTGCAAGGGACATATAATGCATGTCGTTATAAGGAGACCCAAATTAATGTTTATATGCACACCTGCAATTGTATGATTGCATTATTTATAAATAAAGAGCGTAAAATGAGTTCATGTAGTCTAAGGCTCGACAAAAGCCACAGTGTGTAAACTGGAAACCTATCAGGCGAGGTCAAAACCACCATTAGGGGCGTGCACCAGTACAAAACAAGGTCAGATCAGACCACCACAAGTTTGACCAGAAGCGCAATCAAGAAATGTTACCACCCGCAGAGCGAACCTGAATTGCTACAAGTCTAGACCTGTTCTTCCTGGTCTGATTTTTTTGCCCATGTGTAATGGTTACAAATGCTAAATGACTACCGTGTAATATATATTCGAAGGAGTTAAGATTGGAGATTTTTTGTGATGTGAGCATTAAACATACATTTTAATTTAAAACAAAGAAACATTTTCTGCCAAATAGCAATAAGAATAGGTAAGATGGAGTTGGGCATCTCATAGATATGGTGGAGGAATGCATGGACTATTTCTTAAACTGAAACATCTCGAACGTGATTTAAAAGATTGGAATGCTGCAGTTTTTGGAAATATATTTGAAAAAGTTAATAACGTAGGATGATTAGAGGAAGACTCTAGCATAAAGTAGGATGACTAGATGAAGCCTCTAGCATAACGTAGGGTGACTAGAGGAAGCCTCTAACACAATGTAGGGTGACTAGAGGAAACCTCTAGCACAAAGTGGAGTGACTAGAGGGAGCCTCTAGCACAATGAAGGATGACCAGAGGAAGCCTCTAACATGACGTAATAATATAGATGAGCATGGCTTGTAGCCACGAGGCAAAGGGTTGGACGTTTCAAAGTAAACATGGGCCCACGGGCCGACTACTTCACTTTACATATAAAGTAATTATATTTTGAAAGAGGGTAACCAAGGGTTATGGCCTATAATATAATATCACCCGAGATTGAGGGTACGGTTTTAGAATTGAAACATTGATTGTATTCAGTGTAGTTGTCATTGTACTTTTCAAATGCTTCAAAGTACTGACCTCCCCTTCACGGGGAAGGCCACCTCACAGCTTTTAGGTTGAAGCTAGAGCTTGCATCCTGTTCCCGTTGCTTCGGGTGATCTATGGAGAGAAGACGTGGTTCGTGCTTCTTCCAATTCTATTTTGATATAAATAAAATGATGCTCATGGAACTATTTTAAATTATAAATGATTTGGGAGCCTGCATGCTCATGTTCGCCCTGTGTGGCCTTTGACTTTTTAAAAGTATTTGTATTCCTCTGCGTATATTTGAAATGCTTTGCTTATGATTGTTTATGGATGTACTTGTGTGAATGGTATTCATGTACGTCTTGCATGGTTCGAGTGAGGTGGACTGCGGTTGCCTTAATTGGATTGTGCGGCGGTTGTTAGCGTGTCCGGTCAGCCCGGGCGTGACAATTAAATGGTATAAGAGCCTTAGTCCATAAACTTCATAATGAAGTTCCTCAAAAGTGTTTTCTTCAAAATCATTTTGGAAACCATGAGCATAAAAAGTTTTGTACTAAAAGAGCCTTTGGTACTTGAGTTGCAATGTCTCTGGTTGTTAAGACGGGCCCCTTAACAATTGGTATGACGGTGATTTGAGCCAAGTGGTGTCTTAGGTACTTATCTGTCAGTTGACATTGAAACGAGTCTGATGACTCATTAATTCTAAAAAACTTCTTTAAAAAATAAGAGGTGGAGGCATACTGACTAGGAATGACCGGATAGGGCGTGCGTGCACTAGGCGAAACTAGGCATGTCAACCCGGGGAACTCTAGAGTATATAGGGAAATAGAGAGAGGCCTAGGAGGCCAAGGGATCCAAGCTATGGATAAATTACATTTGGAGACCGTGTATAGGTCTTGGGAGTCCGAAGAGGACTCAACGTAT